ATCAAAGTTTCTTTTCAAAGAACAAACAATCAACCTTAAAGTTTCAACTAAAACAAACATTTAAACAACACATTTAACATATCATAAATAAGGATAAAGTCATCATGTTCAAGCAAATATATTAATACATCATGGCATTGAGAAAATCATTGAAGAAATTAACCATAAAAAAGTTTAATAAAAGAAACATTAAGATAAACAAACTATTTTTGATATTTTTGTTAATTAAATAACATATAAATGAAAAAAAATAAGGTTTGATTAAATAAAATAGAATGTTTTTGGTATTTTAAATATTGAGGATAATAAAAATAAAAGACATAAAAAGGAAATAAATGATTAAACTAAAATTTAAAAGAAAACAAAATAAATATAGAAAAAAGAAAACAAAGAAAAAAGTGATAAAAAGATGGTTTTGTAGCCAAGGGGTGTTGAACCCACGCCCTCAAGGTTAAGGCTCAAAAAAATATCACTAGGCCATGCACTACATGGTGATAATTATACACAATTACTTGATACTATATGAAACAAGTTCAGAAATGTACAAAATACAAAATAAACAAAAAAAAAGGTCTAAAATGGATTTGAACCCCAAACCTCACTCACACACAAGATCAATTCTTTGACCATTGGGGCGCAATGTAAATTCATTAATTATTCATATTAAATTAAATATATTATAAACTCAATTTTAAAAAATGAATTTCGCACCAGGCTTTATCTCCAACCTCTCGTTACTGTAACTTTTTTCAAAAATAGTGATTTTCTCATTTCTTCATTTCTCAACCAAATCAAAAAATGTAAAAAGCTAACTTGCTTAAAATTTCACAAGGAATTCAAAAATATGCTTAAAATTAATTTATATCCATTGTATCAAATGAATTTCAATCAAAACCAGAAAAACCTAATTTTCTCAAAGTTAAATTAAATTGCACACAAGCTCAACCAATACCTATTTTCATAGGGCTTCAGTTTAAAACATTCAAACAAACATAATGATATCAAGAAATGGTTAAAATGATGCTTGTATGAGAGACTTCGAAATCAAGACAAATTCACCTATTGAAGTAAGGTCCAATGCCTCTTTTAAGAAATTTTAGTGGTGATAAAGGATCTCTCTAGCTTGTATGATGTCTCATGAACACATCACAACACTTAGTTTACCTTGAAATCATCTAAATATTTTTGATCAAGTCCACCTATAATGATGAATGAGCACAGGTTGGATGGAGCAACGGAGGTGTTACAACTATGGATTAATGCATACAAAAGTTTACATGTAGTGTATAGATGGTGAATATATGGTTAGTTTGCAAAGAACTTACACGGATTGAGTATTTCAAAGAAATGACTCTTTTGGAAATGATGGAGTTTTTGTGATTCTCTATGAGTTTGTGTGTTTGAGGGAGGATTTATGTTTTAATGTGTGTGTTTTGTAATGAGATGAAGCTCTCTATTTATAGAGAAATTTTAGACATCAAGGACTGATGAGAAATAAAGTTTGTAAGTTATGGTATGGTTGAAATGCAAGTTTGTAGTTACATGAACATGGTATGGTTCCAAGATGAAAGATTGCTTGATTTATGGATAATAGGTTTTTGTAGGGTGTTACTTCTGAATTTATTGATGAAGTGTGATTAGAGAGAACAAAGTATGAGCTTAAAGAAAGATTTGTTGAGAAAAGTTGGATTTATGTAAATGGAAGTGGTAACTTTTGTAAAACGTTCTCAAAGTGGCATGGAATTTGGACAATGCACCAAACACTTGGATAATAACTTAAAGACTTATGTAAATCATCAATTATGGTGAGATTTTGAAGCAAGATAGCCTGTACACAAATATCACATAGTTTGGCTTAAGGTTTGTACATGAGTTTGAACATGTTCTTGACTTATAAAACAACTTCATTATAGCATCTTCAACTATTCGAAACTCCTTTCTCAAGTAAAAGAAATTCATGCTCTTGGTACCATTGGAAATATGAGAGCATCCTTTACAATTTTCATGTTGATCACTTGACTTGAATCAGCTTGGATCATGAGAAAAATGCCTCATAAAAATGAAGTTTCAAGCTGAAAAACACTTAGAGAATTTTTCTAAGTCTTTGGTATTTTGACAACTTTGAGACCTTAACTTTATCACTTCATATCTCTCAATCCTTATGAGCTTTTGAGTCAATTCCTTCTACAATTTTGAAGTATGTAGGATCATATTTATGTACATCCTTTGGGTATGAAAAATGATTGCTTGAGGAAGAAGTTATAAGCTTGGAAAGTCATACACTTGAGCATGATATTTTTTACACTTAGTAAAAATTTCAATATCTTCACGTTTGCCCTTTTTGCAAGTTAACTCAGATTTTGTGATTTCCCTTTATCAGATTCAAACATTAACCATATTTTCATGAAATTTATCTTGAGAGGTTCCTATTTGACTAAAATTCTCAAAAGTCAAAGTTTGACTTTGAGAAATTGACTTTTCCAAATGAATTCAATTTTTCCAATTTCAATGAAATATTGTGATCATAATGCAATTTTCAATACATTGAGACATATTGAGGGTTATGAGATGATGATATTGAGAGTCTCTTGAGTGATGTACATTGGAGATCAACCTTCAAAGCCTTAATCCCTGATTTTTCAACTGAGGGTGCCAAAACCCTAATTTTCTCCAATCATCTGATGAATCCATGATGAAACGCTAATGTGATGAGATTGTGATGAGGATGATGATCATCATGAGTGAATGAGAAGTTTGGATCACTGAGGAATATACATGCCCTTGATTTGATGAATCAACTACTAGATCCTATTGTTTCAATATACCTATCTTGTACAAGAAATAAACAAACAAGACAAATTCTTGTACTTTTATGAGGTTAGTGGTATAAAAGATGAATGATATGATCTCTTAATATTATGCAATTGTGCAAAAGGATGTGGGATCTTAAATAAAAAAATAGGTTACAATATATATATATATATATATATATATATATATATATATATATATATATATATATATATATATATATATATATATATATATATATATATATATATATATATATATATATATATATATATATATATATATATATATATATATATATATATATATATATATATATATATATATTTCTCAAACATTAGCTAGATCAATTCGTCTAAGTTTGTAAATGGGAAAAAAACATTAATCACAATATTACTAAATAACTATAAGAAATAGATCGTTGCAACAAAAAGATCTAAAAGGATCACGTGATTCACACACATCATTGAGAAAAAATTCATTTAAGATGACTTAGTTTAAGGGGACTTAATCTAATTTAACTAGTCACTTATCCTTAAGGGATTCGTGACAAATTTCATATATAGAAAATTATTACACCTTACAAACAATGAGGTATAAAATTCTTATGATCAATTTCCTTCTCTCATGCTCCAATGTTTTTGAATATACCTCTTTGCTCATAAAATTATGAATCGTATAACATTGTTTTTTCGTGTTCCAAATTTGTCTGCTATGCTAGTCTGACGCATTGTGTTTTTTCTCTATCATGCATTTTCTATTATTTTCTTTTGCTTCTTGCTTGCAAGTCCTATTTGTCTTCCTTCATCATATTTCTATAGTACACCACAAAATTTGTATGTTTCCGATGATTTTGGCATGAATCGATTTTTTCCATAATTCTTTATGATTTTTTTTAAATCATACAAAAACATAAACAAATTAAAAATAAAAATATTTAAAATTAAAAAAAAATTACACTAAAAAACATATAATGATAAGCTGTCATCACAATCTTAAACTTAAATTTTTTCTTGTCCTTAAGAAAAAAACTTGAAATTTTAGATTATAAGAGAAATGTGAAATTTACTTCCCGACTTGGTTTACACTACTTATCAACATACTTCAATCATTCTTAAGTTTTATTTTTGTTCTCATATCTCACGATAAATAATTTAAAAGCATAGATCATACTCATATATATTCAATTTTTTCTATATTTCTTGCTAATTCACTCAAAATGATAAAGATGTCTCTAAATCAACATGTAAAAATCATTTTTCCATAATCTTAAATGTTTTCTAAACAAAATATTAAATCAAGTTAACACCCACATTTCTGAAGTCTTAAAGGTCTTAACTTGGTTTGAGTTAAGTGGGATAAACTTGAAAAAGTAAACTAAATTCTTAAAGTACTAAATTCTTTCATTTCTTTATTTTTCCTTTCCAAATATTTGATGTTACCACAGTCAACACTTTAAAGAATGATTCTAATTTATTTGAGACTTTCTCTTTTATTTATACTAGTAGTCATTTGTCTTTTCTTCTCTTTCTATCATTTTCCAATCATTTTCTTCTCTTATTTTTTCAATCGGTACAATTTCAAAATTTTCCGTAAAAATCCATCCATTTCAATCAGATTTTCTAAAAATCTAGCGCCACCCCCACCTTATACACCGAAATTTACAAAACTTCCAGTTAAAATTTAAATTTTTTATACCAATTATATTAAAAAAAAATCGGCTATAAATGCAAAAATAAATTAATAGATTTGTAGTATATTTGTTTCAAATATTAGTACGTACAAACTAGAAAAGAAATTAAACTCGAATGAAAATATAATCATTCCTCCCTTCTTACATTTTTAATTTATTAGAATAAAAATTTAATTTATTTTTTTTGTAAAATAAAATCATTTCTTCCTTCTTACATTTTGTAGAATAAAATTTAATTTATTTTTTTTTCTTTGATATTCTGGAATACCAATCCTTAGAAATCTCCCTTCTAGAATAAGGGCACACGGGCAATACATTTGTGTAACACAGTGAACTTTTATAAGCATCTGAAAAAAATTCGTATTTACAACTCCACTTCAGAAAACTATAAAATGGAGAGGGAAATTACAAAAGGAAAAATATATGAATCTAATACAGACATAACTTGAAGCCCATATAAATTGGAACAAGGGCAGGAATTAGTGAACATGACACCTCAAAAATCATAATCTATATCTGTTACATTCTGGGACATGGAATGTTTAACAAGCTGTCCTTGCTCATTGTACCGATCAAGGTTCTCGCATGGAGACGGGAAAATGGTCCCTATTACGCGTCCGTGTACAAATGCACACTGAAAGATGTGTTTTTTCTTGTAGGTTAACCCAACTGACATTTCTCGAAAAGTTACATTTTTCACAGGAATCTCTTCGCTACCGTGAATACGTACCGGCACACGAACTCCATGTCCGTAGATGCTTGTGAAGCTTATGTCTCTTATATCAGGAAGTGCTGTAGGGTCATATCCATCATCAGGGTGTTCGTTGTAATCTGTCTTCATCACAATTCCAACACGGACGTTTTCAAATGATATATTCCGATAAGCTATTTGTCGCACGTATCCACCTCGCCCAGGTGCAGTCTTTATCCTCACACCACGCCTAGAATCCCACACACGAAGATTCTCTACCGTGATGTTGGATACCCCACCAGACATCTCACTGCCTATTGAGATACCAGCACTGTTTCAATTCATAAAAATCATTACCAATGATCAACATTTCGTAAATAAGAATATGAAAGGTACAGGCCATGCAAAATGAGAAAGGTACGAACTGGTTGAGTTAGGGATTCACCTGACCATAGAGCGAACAACGAGGTTTCGGATCATAATATTCATGGAAGGTCTTCCATAAGCAATTCCATACTGATCCCAACCACTTTTTATTGCAATTGCATCATCTCCCACACTTATGTAACAGTCCTCTATCAACATATCCTCACAAGAATCTGTGCGCACCATAGAGATTTAGGATTATTAAAATTTACCGCACCAACAACAAAACTAATATAGATGAAAGGGGAAGAACTATTCAGGACATCACATATGAAATAACAGTTCTGTGCTTGGTAGAAGATACTTGCCAGGATCTATGCCATCGGTATTTGGAGCATCAATTATAGGAGCCAAAATTGTAACACCTTTTATTGTTATGTTTTTGCAGTCATATGGATGAAGCGTCCAAAAAGGAGAGTCGCGTAAAGTAATATTAGTGATTACAATGTCACTAGACCACATGATCTGAACAAGTGGTCCCCTTGTGTAGTTGAGACGCTTTTGGCGAAACTTTTTCCACCATGCTTGTCCTTGTCCATTTATGGTGCCATTGTGCCCTGTCAATCATGCCAATAGATGAAATAAGAGAAAAATTTGAAACTAAGCTGAAACATCTCATAAATAAAGGGACCAAGAATGAATCTGTTGATATTCCTTTTTTATCCTGAAAACACACCAAATAGATCGATTGTATTTGCAAGATAAATACTTGAATGTGATCAATGATCAAAATGACATTCAATATTAGCGAAAGAACTTTTTCATGAAGGATGATGACTTTTGAACCTTTTAACTAATTGGAAGTAAGATGAAAATTCCTCACCTGTTATCACAACATCTTTAAGATTCTGACCATGAATCAAACTGCCATATCGAGGCCCGGGACGCTCCCTTCCATACCCATATGAAGGCAATGGAGGCATTAGTGGCCAATACTTCTCATCCTATCAACCGTCGCAAAAGATGACAATGTAAATGAAATGTTTGGTTACACAAGAGTGACAAAGATATGCAATGTAAGAAATGGATTTACCAAAGATAAACATAGAATGCATGATCTAGTGGTAATTAACTTGAGTCATAAATATCAGCCCAAATTCTGTCACTCGTTACCAAATGCACAACGAAGATAGAAGCGTATATGCATACAAATTTTGGATGTTACGGCGAGTATTGCTAGCTGTTGAGTGTTGATACGATATGAAAACAATCTGGCTGGTATCAAGAAAAATGCGAGCCAGAAAACTAACTCCGGCCGAACTCAAAATTTAATTATGATCTAGTATGAAAAATTTGCTCGAGAAGATAAATCAGGCTCTACTCTAAAGCTTAATTAGAATATGACATACAAAACTGAAACACAAGCTTTTCTTCAGTGTATTTTAGAAAGGATAATCCACTATTCTAAGAATATGTCTGGAGTGGCATTTGCATCAGTAGAATCAAATTCCAATGCACTTTCAACGCGGAAATACATAAGCTAGCAATTGAAGCTTCTACCTATACGTGTGTTTTTAACTAGTTTACAACGCCAATAGGCTAAATTGTTTGCCATGTACTTAATCAGAGACAGTTGATCATAATGGAACTAATGAAAATTGACAAAGATTACATATTTCTTCCCGAGCTTTACGGAAACTCTCATATAGTTTCACAATCACATTTAATTTTCAGAAATTTCATCGCCGTATAAGTTTAACCAAGACAAAATTCCGGACGTGTTACTGTTGCCTCCAATCAACACAAAATTAACCAATATCATAAATTGGAAAGGCAAAATACACAAGCATTACAATAATAATCCTCTACTCTTCTAACATAAAAACCTAAGATTAATTTATCATAGCCAATAACAAGTCATTATTATAAACAAGTATTCTCTTTCCAGTTTCATTGAATAATTAATTAATTAATGTATCTGTTCTATATCAAACCATATACCAGCAAATAGCAAGAAGAAAAAAGGAAAACTAACATCAATGGCAAGAATAACAGCATCTTGAGCTAGAAACAAAGTGATATGACTGGTAAGATTGAACGGTGCAGTAAGCCAACGACCAGGAGGAACATTAAGCTGGCCCCCACCTTTCTTCCCGAGTTTAGAAATAGCCGAAACGCCTCTCTCAAACGCCTCAGTATTGAGAGTAACCCCATCACCCACACCTCCAAAATCCGTCAAATTGAACGCCACCGGTCTCATAATCGGAACCGGCCTCGCCGCAACTCGTCCAAGAAACAAAATTCCACCAACCACCGTGTTTCTCTGCCACACGAAAACCGAAAGAAACGCGGCGATCCATAGAATCATGAAGAGGGTCTTGTGTGAGGTTATGAATGCCGGAACGCAGCGTTTGAAGTCGAGTCTTTGGTGGTGGAACCGCCCTAGCATTGAGGTTTCCACCATCATGAGAAAGTGGTTCGCCTTTTGGGAAATGGAGATGGATTTAGAAGGGTCGGTGGTGGTAACTCATTGATTCGTTTCGTGAAGATAGAGTGAGATTAAGGTTGGTGACGAATGAGTGAGATTAAGGTTGGTGACGAATGAGTGAGAATTAAGGGAAGATCTGTGTTGTGTTGTGTTGAAAGAGTGAATTGAAAGGGAAGAAGAAGTGAGAGATGGAAATGAACAAGTGAAAGTTGAAGTTGGTTCCTATGATAATGATGGAGCAACCATGGGTCCAATTGGAAATTCATACTTCCTTAAATCAGTGTGGAATTTTCCAATTTTCCTATTTTTTTAGTTTTCACATTTCTCAAACAATTCTAGTTACTCCCTTCCCTCTATCCATATTTATATATTATTTCACTTTCCATGCTTTTTTAACACCTATTCAATCTTTCCATTTTATTTTCATATTTTGTTTGATAATGCTAACATGTGCAATAAGGCACCTATTAAGAAATCTATTATTAGAAAGTTTATCTTAAATAAAATAAAAATGTATGTATTTATAATAAATTCATTTCAAGACAATGTTTCTTTATTTAATTCTTAATATGTTATTATTATCTTATTTTATTTTATTTTTTATTAATATAATATTTTGCACAATTTCTTCAAGAAGCTTTTAATATATTGTTTGTTCATTTTTCTATATTTTTTTCTTTTTCATTTTCCATTGTTCTTCTATCTTTCTCCCTTCCATCGTAAACAAAACTTTAAATTAAACTCATCTCAACGTCAAATGTTTTATGGATTTATGTGCGTGTAGATATAGATTCACAATGATTTTGATGACAACAACATTGTGATGTGAAATCTTCAATTCAAGTCATGATAAAGATATTATATTAAGATCAAGATATTTTGTGTGTAATCTCTTAAGGCCAACACCTAATATTAACCGCATTCAGTAAAATCTCTGATGATCTCTAGTCAAACAATCTCTGATGATGATGTCTATCAAAAAGCTCTAAAGTCTTGTCAGTTAGAAGAAGTTGAGTGATAAGTATAAATTGTAGTTATTTTTTTATATATTTTTTGTTGCACTTATCGACTCTTTGTTGTTAATAATCATTTAATAAACCCGACTTTTGTGTAAATACGTTTAGTTTGTGTTTATTTGTGTTTTTGTGTACATAATATACCGTTTGATATTTTTCTATTCATTTTGTAGGTATTTGTTGCATTTTGGAGCATCAAGGAATAAGGTGTCGAAGGCACGGCTCCAGATGCTCGTTTTCAGAATAAAAGACCAGTTTTGAGAAGTTTTGTCCAGGAGAGCCCGCTTAGCGTGCAAAAGGCCGTTAAGCGCGAGTGCGCTCAACGTATTTTATAGCGCACTGTTTGTGTTTTGACATTTTGGCAGAAGCTTAGTTTTGGAGCCCGCTTAGCGCGGTTTAGGTCGATTTAATGTGTAAATATCGCGCAACCTACTTAGCGCGGTGAGCCCGTTAAGCGCGTTCTGCTGAGATTTGTTTTATAACTTCATTTTTAGTTTATTTTATGTTATGGTTTTTGGGGTATTTTTGTTCCCAAATTCCATTAACTTCATTTTTGGGTAGATTAGCTTAGATAACATCTATGGAGCTTGCATACCGATGATCCGGGATGGATTGCTCTTCGATCAGCACTGACAAACCGATAGATTTACGGTTCATTTCTATTTTTCTTTGTGTATTCTCTATTGGTGGGGTTTGTATATGTATTTTATTTAAACTCATGTATATTTATCGCCATTGGCGTTGTATAAAACTTGCTTTACAAATCTTTGTCGATTGTTATCCTTAATTTTTGCTCTATGCTAGGGATTTGAGTTGTTATAGACATATACTGCTTGGATTCTTATCTAGAATAATTATCTGTTAGTTTCTAGATTATAGAGATAGATTTAGAGCTGACATTCACTTAGAGTGTCTGTGATTAATGCCTCTGTGTTGTTTGTGTCGCTCTGAGAGATCATCGATGCAAGAGAGTACGATTGACTTCTGTGTTGTTAAGGTTGGTTGAGAGATCGTCGCTGAGGTGATACAATGGGTGTTGTGTTTGACACGTGATGACATCAATGAATATTGTAAGTTTAGTATAACAGGTCGGTAGTTTTAAGTCTGTGAGAAGTAGTATATATGCATGCTTGATAAGTTATTCTTTTTTCCTTTTTATAGATTTATTTTCTGTTGATACCTTTCCTTTCAACCCATTTATCCCCCAAAATCATTAACGAGAGATTTTTCGAACGAAATTTCAATACACCAATCTCTGTGGACACAATACGATATAACCTATATCACCTGGTAAATTAATAACTTACTTTTGTTGCTTTCCGCTTTACCGCTCCAGCAAAATGACGTTGTTGTCGGGGATTGGTTTTTATTGTTTTGCATTGTGATAGTTTATTTATTTTTGAGTTTTGTAATTAATGTATATGTTGTATAAAATGTGTACATAAACTTGTCTATTTTTACTTGTACATGTTTTGTGTTTACTTTTCATACTTGTGCATATATGTATTTTTCTTTGTTTTCACGTATTGTTGTGAATTGTCTCGTTTTTATAATGTTTGTTATGTGCTTGTTATGACACTTTCTTTAGGTTTGTGCAGTGTAAAAATACTATGACATGACGAGAGGAGGTTACTAGCTCACACAATAAGGTGTCGAGCTTACGACATAAAACAAGTATGTTTTGTTTGTATTCATTTATGTTTGTGTTGACTTATGTTTTAACATGTTGAAATTGGATCTGTTTTACAACTCTCAAATCTTCACTTTTCAACTTGTTAATTCACTTTCACCCGTTTGTTTTGTTATGTCAATTTGTGTTTTTTCTGCAAGCTTGTCGTGTTTAGCTTGAAGTCTGTTGTCGGTTGTAAATATTGTACATGTGTAGTTGAGATTGTATAGGTAAATGTGGAGGCTGCACTGCTATCTGTTGGACTGGTTTTTGTTGTTCTGGTGTAGCATGCTTAGCGCGCTCTGTGCCGCTTAGCGCACCCTGTTGTGTAGAGCCATTGAATTCTTTTTAATTTTTCGCTTGACTCTCCCTTTTCCCACTTCACCCAAGGATTTGTAGTATAGTAATTAATAGTAATATTTTTAATTCTTTCTTTTGTTGTTTTGACTCAAATTTTGGTTAGATAGCTTGAAGTCGCATTTGGTGATTTTCCGATTTTGAGTGTGTCAACTTGCAAATATATGGTAATGATAGTTTTTAAAGTTGGTACTCGCCAGGTACTCGTTTATCGCTTTCTATAACATAACATGTTTAGGAAATTTATCATTTGTATAATTACCATACCATTCATTCTTTTTACATTACTTGCTCATTACTTGAATCACTTTAGTTCCCTTTTTACCCATAAATATGAGGAAGCTTTCCATTGTTCATATATGTTGGAGGCTATAATTCTTATTTTAACTGGATTTTATTATGTTTAATATTTTGTTTGTGTTGATTGTGTGAAAGCATGAACATGATCAAGGCATTTTTTGTTTGATTTTGAGCACAACTATCTTGGCCAAATAGTCAATTCACCTTGTGAGTGTGTGAAATTTTGTTAACCCCTTTGAGCTTTTTGTTGATGTCCATGTTGTTTTTGCTAAATGCTTGTCTATGAGTGTTTGATTTATATTTTTGTATGGATATTGATTCTTTGTTTTCTTGAATCCTCAACTATGATTTATGGTTTGAATTTTTACCTTTTCTTAGAAAGTATGGAGTATTCACATTATGATATTGGTTGAATTCAAGTCGTGGAGAGAAATGTTTATATGGTTATGTTGCGATTGATATGAGATTGCGAGAGAAAAAGAAATAAAAAAAGTGAAAAAGAAAGAAAAAAATTGAAAAAGCTTTGAAAAAGAAAAACAAAAAGAGTATGGAATAATATTGTGTTAATAAGTGATGTGTGTTGGTTTGAAATTTGGAATGAAGAAGAAGTTTGATTGAAATTATTTTGCTTGATTCTTTGTGAGTTGATCACTCTCTTAGGTTAAGGAAAGTTTTTGTTTCGATTAGATTTAGGACTTATCCCTTGTTTGTTAACCAAGCCACATTACAACCTTAAAAAGCCCTTGTGATTCTTGCCTTTGTATTTTCAATATGAGTTTTTGGATGAAAGCATAATTTAGTCTATTGTTTGCAAGATTGTGGATGAGTGTTTTTTGTCCCTCACCTTTGTGTGTTCTTCATCTATCGATGAATTTTTACTAGGTGTGATTCATAATTGAGCTTGTTTTATTTTAGAATGTTTAGTATGATTTTTGTACTTATGATTCATTTCGATTACATGTTGTTGTTGTAGGATTGTGGTAAGTATTTAGCTTGCATATGTGTTTTTGTTTGAACCATACATTTGTTTTCCGTTTTCAAAACTTGTTGATTCATGATTCTTTGGTTGATTACTTTTGGTTCTTTGAGTTGTTTGGCCTTGTTTAAGGACAAACAAGTTCAAGTTGGGGAAAGTTTGATAAGTGCAAATTGTAGTTATTTTTGTATATACTTTTTGTTGCACTTATCGACTCTTTGTTGTTAATAATCGTTTAATAAACCCGACTTTTGGTAAATACGTCTAGTTTGTGTTTATTTGTATTTTTGTGTACATAGTGTATCAATTGATGTTTTTCCATTCATTTTGTAGGTATTTGTTGCATTTTGGAGCATCGAGGAATAAGGTGTCGAAGTCACAGCTCCGGATGCGCGTTTTCAGAATAAAAGACCAGTTTTGAGAAGTTTTACCCAGGAGATCCCGCGTAGCACGCAAAAGGCCGCTAAGCGCAAGTGCGCTCATCATATTTTGTAGCGCACTGTTTGCGTTTTGACATTTTGGCATAAGCTTAGTTTTGGAGCCCTCTTAGCGCGGAGAGCGCACTTAGTGCGGTTTAGGTCGGTTTAATGTGTAAATATTGCGCAACCCGCTTAGCTCAGTGAGCCCGCTAAGCGTGGTTTGATGCGATTTGTTTTATAAC